CAAAGTCAAGTTTTGACCCCTGCACTTTTTACCATCCAAAACAATATTACGCTATATTAAATTAACACTGGATGAGCTCTAGGACCAAGCGGAAAACAACCGTTTGTGTTGAAGTCTGTTTCCCATTAGAGCATACCGTAAAGATACCCCTCCCCCCTCCTCCCTCCCCCGTGTCCCCCCCACTTCTAAAGTGAAAATTACGTCCATGTATACCTGCACCTCAGAAGAAGAAAAAAAAAGCTGCCTAGTCATCAGACCCTGATGCTGTTTTGAAGTGAAGAAAAATTGCTAATTAATTTAGGAATTTTGTGCTTTTTTGTTTTGAAAGAGAAAAGAAAGAAAGGAGAGGAGGGATGAGCAAGAATGAGATGGGAGGCAGCAAAAACACTTATTCAACTCTCAGTCTAGCTGACTGTGCTGCTGGTTTTAGAGCAGTGTCAGTTGAAGTCATCTGAAAGATTTTTGAGGAAAACATCTGTGGAAAATCGTCCCTTCAGGGTGTTGTTTATGTTTATGTTTATTTATTTAGCAGACGCTTTTATCCAAAGCGACTTACCATTTATAACCTGTAGGGCATGTTGTGATCTGTGGGGGAAACCGGAGTACCCGGAGGAAACCCACGCATGCATGGGGAGAACACGCAACTCCACGCAGAAAGGCTGCAGCCGAGTTTCGAACCTGCAACCTTCGTGCTGCGAGGCAACAGTGCTAACCACTGCGCCACCATGCAGCCCAAGTAGTTTCTTGTTAATGACCATTCAAAGTAATACTATGTTCCTGTTAAACGTGTGACAATGTACAAAAAGTCGGTTTGAAATCAGCTTGTTGCAAACTCTATCCAAAGGAAATAAAATTCCAACAAAAAGTTTTCCTTTCCCATCGGATACTCAGCAGACGGGGGGATTTGGATCAGCATCAAACTCTCTCCGTCATCTCTTTAGTGTTTCCACTGATTTCCCTCTTTACACACTCTCTCTCTTTCTTAACATTTTTTTCTTTTAAATTGCAATTACTTATTCTTGCTCATTTTAACTATATTTTAAACATTTTCTAAGTGCTTTTTTATATTTTTACAATTTTTTATATTTTTTGTTTTTGTTTTTGTGAAGCGCCTCGTGATTTTTATCTTGAGAGGCGCTATAGAAATGATATTTTTTTCTTCTTCTTTGCCGACTAAATATATGTTTTGGAGCATTCTTTTTTCATTATATATATATATATATATATATATATATATATATATATATATATATATATATATATATATATATATATATATATATATAATTATTATTATTTTATTTTAATTTATTTATTGTTATTGTTTTTCTTCCCTTTTTTGTTATTCTGGCTTCAAAGACACTAAATTCCAGCATTTTTCCTGCGAGTGGGACTCACTTTATTTTCATTTCCACAGCATTGACTTTTCACAGCATGCCTTACTTCACGTGTTAAGTTTTAAAAAAGATTGTGTCAAGAAAATAAATACACAACTGTGATGTCAGCAGTGATGACATGCTGTTGGTACAAAAACTCGTGTTATCTTTAAGAGGGTGTGTCCACACACACACACATACACACACATGCACACACACGCAAAGGGGAGAGCAGAGTTGCATAGCAGATGTTTAGGCACGACCGAGTGCCGATTTTGACATTAGAGCAAGTGTGATAAGTTGTTAAGCATGTGCTATGTGTTACGTTTCATCGCTTTCACGCGTCTCTGTCGTCTTTGTCTCGGCCTTGTCCACACACAGGAAACACACACCCATGCACGTTTGTCTCACACAGCAGCTGCAGACCTGACCCGTGTGAGTAATGAAAACGTATGTGACACACGTGAGTCTGTGCGTCACACGTCCTGTAAAGAAACCAAGCTAATTTCGTTGTGTGCAAGGGTACGTGTGAGTTGAGTTTAAAAAGTCCATTTGAAAGAAAAGGATATCAGTTTGAGGAGAAAACACTTTACAAAAGAGCTTCTGTGTGTGTTTTCAAGGATGGTGAGGGCAATAGATCAGTCTTTTCCTCGTGGATACAGATGGATTATTCCAGCGTCAAAGCTCATTCCTGACATCCTGTGAGGTCACCGAGCAATGGCTGACTGTTTAGTCATTTATTTGTTTTAGAAAATATCCCTGGTATGCCTCGTTCAAAGAGGCTTTTTGTCCACAGAAACAGACTTTATACCGTAAATGTCACAAGTCATTGTACAAATAAATCAATGCATGTTCTGTAGAAACATGTTTTATTCTGTAAACTTTCTTTTTTACAAAATGTGGTTTTAACCTAACTTGTGTTCTCTTAACCATTTCTTACTTAAACAATTCTAAGAGTCAGCCCTACATCAGCAAAAGATTTGGTGTTTTCTTGGCTTTTAATTTCTGAACAAATCCATCCAGATTATTTACCGTAGGTAAATCCTACAGATGTCTCATTTCTTTTTGAAGTGGTGGTGAGGGAACTTGGATGAAAGCGTGATAAAAATCCTAAATTCAACAGGAACAGAAAGAGAGCCAATAGCCATGTTTTTCATTTGTTGGTACGTAGTGAATGCTACTTTTGTTGTTAAAGAGCAAGTCACCCCCAAATAAACTATTTTTTTCTGATAAACTATATAAATGTGTGTCTAATCGTGCTGCAGACACATGTCGTCAATAATTTGGCACTTTAGTGCATTTTAGTTAAAATTTAAAATTTCTACCTGAAACTGTCAGTGTTGTACCGTTGTCAGGTAAAAACTCGTCACTGCATTTGAATTTAAATCTGACATCGCCATTGGCTAAGAGGTATGCTATGATGTAAACTGGTAGATTATGATGTCACAATGTCGTGAGTGTGTGTATTTGTTAGCAGCTCCACCCTCTCCGTCTGCTAGGCAACAGCATTTGTTGCATTTTTCAAACATGAAGTGGGAGTGAAGTACGCTTCTTGTAAGGGGTGACTTGCTCTTTAAAGAGCAAGTCACCCCCAAATAAACATTTTTTTGCTGATAAACTAAATAAATGAGTGTCTAATCGTGCTGCAGACAAGTGTAGTCAATAAGTTGGCACTTCAGTGCAACTTAGTTAAAATTTAAATATTCTGCCTAAAACTGGCAGTGTTGTGCCGTTGTCAGGTAAAAACTCTGCACTGTATTTTAAATTAAATCTGCCACCGCTATTGGCTAAGAGGTATGCTATGATGTAAACTGGTACATTATGATGTCACAATGCTGTTGTGAGCCTGTGTGTGTGTGTATTTGTTAGCAGCTCCTCCTTCTCGGTCTGCCAGGCAACAGCATTTGTTGCATTTTTCAAACATGAAGTGGGAGTGGAGTTAGACTCTGGTAGGGGTTGACTTGCTCTTTAAAGAGCAAGTCAACCCCTACCAGAGTCTAACTCCACTCCTGCTTTATGTTTGAAAAATGCAACACATGCTGTTGCCTGGCAGACCGAGAGGGCGGAGCCGCTAACAAATACACACACACTCAGGCTCACGACAGCATTGTGACATCATAATGTACCAGTTTACATCATATCATACTTCTTAGCCAATAGCGGTGGCAGATTTAAATTAAAATACAGTGCAGAGTTTTTACCTGACAACGGCACAACACTGCCAGTTTTAGGCAGAATATTTAAATTTGAACTAAGATGCACTGAAGTGCCAAATTATTGACGACACGTGTCTGCAGCACGATTAGACACTCGTTTATTTAGTTTATCAGCAAAAAAAAAGTTTATTTGGGGGTGACTTGCTCTTTAAAGAGCAAATCAACCCCTGCCAGAGTCTAACTCCACTCCCACTTCATGTTTGAAAAATGCAACAAATGCTGTTGCCTAGCAGACCGAGAGGGCGGAGCTGCTAACAAATACACACACACACACAGGCTCACAACAGCATTGTGACATCATAATGTACCAGATGACATCATAGCATACCTCTTAGCCAATAGCGGTGGCAGATTTAAATTAGAATACAGTGCAGAGTTTTTACCTGACAACGGCGCAACGCTGCCAGTTTTAGGCAGAATATTTAAATTTTAACTAAGATGCACTGAAGTGCCAAATTATTGACGACATGTGTCTGCAGCACGATTAGACACTCGTTTATTTAGTTTATCAGCAAAAAAAAGTTTATTTGGGGGTGACTTGCTCTTTAAGATGTACACGAGTCAGGCAGACACTCACTCTTCCATGTGCGCAAACATTCCAGAAACATTAACTCACGGGAAAGATCTCATTCTGGTTATATTATAACTAACATTGGATTAAAATGTGCCTCTGTTCCCTCTGTGACGATGACGACGATGATACACAGGGGACGTCACTCCCGTGTGTTTTACGTATCGTGCTAGTGGGAATCCTGCGCTGACCTTAGCAACCACCCCAGACCAGATTATGGGATTACACACTGGCCCTGACAGCGAGGCAGATATCCCTGCAGATATGCATTAGTCATCATCACCTGGGTGAACAATCACCTTAGAGACAAAGGAGCTCATCGTCACATCCCAGCAGGAAAGGGTGTTGCAGGTTTAGAGACTCCACTCAGCTGTGAGTCAGTAGCATTACTCCAGCAGAGGGTATTCCCTGTGGCTCTAAGCAGAGTTGGGTAAAATCATGAGACGGATGCAGACGGGTTTAACCTCCTGGGACCCAAACTGTTACAAATATTTAAATAAAAAAAAATTCATTAAATAAAAATGTTGTCAAATATCCTAAAAAATCAAAGACAACTTACACATTTTTCAAATGAAAGTCATAAAGTGTCTATAAATATAACAAAAAGGTCAAGTAGAAGAGAATAAAATTTTAAAGTGCAAGGAGCCGATGTCCACGTATGTGGACACAGAAGGGCCCTAGGAGGTTAAATGTAGCTGGAAATGTTGGTGGTCTAAGGTTTTTCCAGTTTTCTCAGACTTGTTTTATGTAAATTAGCTTTACTTGCCAAATGCAGCCAGCCACCAAAATGCTTGACTAATTCTTGCCTGCATTTCTCTTTTTCTCGTCCCTGTGCAGTTTCGATGTGGACAATGGCACGTCATCAGGTCGAAGCCCCCTTGATCCGATGGCCAGTCCGGGCTCGGGCCTCATCCTGCAGGCCAATTTCGTCCACAGCCAACGGAGAGAGTCGTTCCTCTACCGCTCGGACAGTGACTACGACCTCTCCCCCAAGTCCATGTCTAGAAACTCCTCCATAGCCAGCGACATGTGAGTGCCTAATAAAGACTAATCAAATACAGCTGAATGGATTCCTGTTGGTACCTTCTCTACAGCCTTCATCAGTTTTTTTGACTGAGTCACAGCTGGATGTTTTTAGGACTAGATTTCAACGTTAGAAAAAGTGTGCAAGACCAGCACAAGGTTGTGTGAAGTCACATAAATCAGCAGGCATGTCCAGTAGAAAGAAAAAGATTAGTGAAGGACTGGAGCTTTACTATTTATGATTTTTATTTAATTTTCTTAGAACATCTGCTTTTCTTGTTTTGCTTTTTTTTAACAAGTAAACAACAGGAACTATGAGATTCAAGTCACTAGTCATCAGTTCAGCCAGAAGTCATCAGTTCTTACTCTAAATTTTCATTTGTTAAGGGGATTTGCAACTTTTTAATATCTTTTAATCATTTTCTTGAGCCAGTATGTGCTCAAGTAAGTCAAGCTGACATACCTGGCGCTGCAGTCTCCTTCCAGTACGTTTCCTGTATGTTTTAGATCATGAACACAGCTGATGTCTTTAATTTGGTGAAGAAACACTCCTGTAGACCCCAATGAAGGCTGGGGAGATGTTTCAGCTGTTAGATTAAGGTGTTAAAAAGACGAGCGCACAGCAATTATATAAGTTTAGCTTTTGGTTCTACAAACGGACACTAGGGGGTGCTAAAAGCAAGACAACACTGCCTAGTCTCCCTTTAAAGCTGTGCTAAGTGATAAATGCATTTTGCATTGCTGGCGTCTTCCAAGGCATGTTTAAAGGTGCATTAAGTAGGAATTTGACAGTGCAATAATCACAAAACGGACGTCCCAGTCATAAAGAAAGGTTGCATTGAAACAGATTTCCTTCTCAGCTTCAGATTTCCTTTCCAGTTTCTCTCCTTTTGACAAAGCCAAAGACGGATGTAGCCATTGTTTATAATCTGTTCCCCTGGGGGGGGGGGGGGGGGGTACCAAGTCTACGACAGCATTTGTAATCGGATGGCAAAAAGCAGCAGCGTTGTGGAAAGAATGGAAGGCAGTAAAAGAAGAGGCCAGGAAGTTATTTCTCGTAGCCTTAAGGAGAAAGTTAAAGGCTAACGCGCTAAGGTTTAGCTAACAATGCTAACAGTGAATTGGAAAAAATTAGTCAGCTCAAAGAGTATCTGAAGCTACTTATTTTGCAGTTACCAACAACTCAGTATTACAGTGAACTGTATTCATCTACATACCATCTTCTGGCATTATCCGTAAACTCGTGATTGGGAAGGGGGTGTCACTGAGAGCAGACTTGTGGACTGCAGGGTGCAAATTTGACCACAGGATGTCATTCTTACATCATGCACCTTTAAGTGTCGCCTGTCAGGGAAATGTATGTTCCTCAACCACATACTCTAACAGGAAATGGCCGTAAATAAAAAGGAAATAAGTTTTCCCCAAAGAAAAGGGGACTGCGAGAGATGAGGGAGGCAGCTTGAAACGTGGTGACTCTGTGAGGGATGTTGATGCAGGTGCAAAACAGTGTGCATGTTTAACCTCATGCTGCAACACAATATTGAGAATGGCTCTTCGCCAAATTAGCTAACGTCCACAAAGACGCATTCGGCAGGGAGACCCTGCGTCCACATACACGAGCATTGGCTTCTTGCACTAGAATATTTTATTCCCTTCAATTTAGACCCCCTTTTTTAAATTATTTAGAAAAATTCGATATTGTATTTAAGTTAAAAATATGTTTTATTTCATTTGTTTTTTCTAGGAAACCTGTGAATATTTTTATTTTATTTTACATCATACCAAATAAAACTTCGGGCCTCAGGAGGTTAAATCACTTCAGTTCCAGTGCATTCACCTGAAACGTTTACTTGCCAGAGCAAAAGCACACCCTTCTGTTGTCAAACATCGTGTAGATCTGCATCTAACATGCACCTACATCTGTTTGTCTCTTCCAGCCATGGTGACGATATGATTGTAACACCATTTGCACAGGTAAGCCCCATCCTAATGCTGTATATTGTAATAAAATGATAATTACATGAGTCAGCCTTAATTTGTCATGTCTGCTTCAGGTTCTTGCAAGTTTAAGAACCGTCCGAAACAACTTTGGTGCATTAACTAATCTACAGCAAGACAGAACATCCAATAAGTAAGTTTCCAACGCGTCCAGTCCTGCAGTACATGTTTTTGTCTTCTAAAAGCTGAAGGATTAAGGAACATCTAGCAGCTTATTTGTAGATTGTAAGAATGTGAGCACCTGGTGCTTCATCCTTCTTGTCTAAACCAATAGTAAACAGTAGCTCCTAAAACTGTAATGCCTCCCCTCCTTTTAGAGCCAGTTTGATCATTCTAGGATGATGTAGATGGGTAACAGCAGATTCCACTGAAGAGAACCCGAGCTTTCTGCATGCAATCGTAACATGAAGTCACAATATTCTCATTCAGTTTTCTAACACTCTGTAGCTGCAGCAGTATCCAAATAGCTTATTAGAATATATGACTTTGATATTTGACGGAGATGTGCTGCTAAACACAATCAGTATTTTTGAGATTATTCCCATTTTGCTCACGTTAATTCAGTACAACTCTCTTCCTGCCCTCTGCTGGTTTAAAGTGGTACTGCAGTAACTGTTGCTGACTGCTACCTGCCACAAGGCTTCACATATGTGCAAATAAGCAAAGGAAAATAAATCAGGGCTTAACTGAGTTGAAAAGAAATGTCTGAGCGTGTTTTTGTTTTTTTTTCATAACAGGAGATCACCCATGTGTAACCCACCACCCATCACCAAAACCACCTTCACAGGTACAGGACATGTGAATTATCCGTGTTGTGATAGCTTGTGCCTGAGTTCTAGCAACAATCTTAGCTGATATGGACATGCATGTGGCGTGTTGAGGGACTGTTTAATACATTGTTCTTCTGACTGCTAATTTAGAATAAAAGCTAAAAATGTGTGCTGCATTAAAATTTAGTTTTTGTAATTTTGATGCTTTACGTTCAGAACTGAAGCAGTATAGCTTAAACGCTCCTAAAGTATTCCAAAACATTTTTTTGGTTTGATTCCTGCTTTGGAATATTCCAAAATTTAGACAAATCATTTGAAATGGAAATGTGTGGAAGGACCTAAATGCAGATGGGAATGCAGGAAACCGGTTCCGGGTGCCAACAAACTTTGACGACTTGAACAGGAGCTCAAAACTGGCATTAGAATATTTAACTCAGGTGAAAAAGGATTCGACAATAAGCCAAATGAATCAAGAGTTTAGTCGCAGACTGAAGAACAGGTGTGCTAATCAGTAATGGTGACCGAGTGGAGGACGACAAGGAACAGGCAAAAACCAACAAGAAGATGCATGTTAAATGAAACTAAAGAAATGCTCAACTAATTTACGTGGTGGTTAAAAATGTTCATTAATTCAGAGAATATTTTAAAACAAAAGCTTGATTTGCTGAAGTCATGTGCATTTTGCCCGTCAGGTGCTAGTTCGTTTCATAGCCTACAAAAACATTCATGGTGAGTTTGGCTGCATGTGCAGAGTTGTGCATAAACACATTTCACATATGCATGCTCAAACTCTTAAAACTATCAAACAGAAGATTCATGTATTACACAATAAAGCAGCCATGTTTTGCACCATGCAGCTCCTATCCGATATCAGCTTGCAGGCTTGAGAAGACGAGAGAAGACTGTGAGGCGTTTTTATTACTGTAATTATATCCTGAATCACTACACAAACCTAGTTTAGACATAGATTTGATTAGATGTGTTATAATAAATATATATGGTTTTAGTTAGAGACGGGTGACAATTTTGCACAATTAAATCAAGTATTTAACAAGGTAAATATGAGTCACGGTTTTTACTTTTTTCCACCAAATGAATAAAATGTAAGAGAATGAAATCGTAGATTTGTGTAACGTGAGGAAGTATGGGTTTCTGTGCCAAAGGTCGTATTTGCCCGGCTGGGTATTTGAGCATAAGGGAACAGGGTTAGGGTTTCAGCTGTTGGAGGGACAGGTGCTAGCTGGGTTAGCTAAACTTGTTTCGAACTAGTCTCTAAAGAACAAACCATCCCAACACACACGACCTGTCCGGTCTACGGTGAGTGTGTTTGTTGAGGACATGACACACACACTGCCTGGATGATAGAATAGACTTGCCCTCGACACTCCGCAGCCGTTTCAGCGGCTGTAATCTAGCTGGTGTTTATTATAGAGAATATCCAACCATTGCATAACTTGTTCCTCTGTGGTGTTATCGTAACTTCGTAACCACACACACTTTTAAAATCACAACATACGCACAGAAAGTAATTTTATTTAAAAATATATATATAAAGAAATCTGTTACAAATGCAAATAATTTTAAAAAAGTCACTCACTCAACCAGCTTTTCTTCCACGTTTAGATCATGTTCTGATGAGACATGTTCTAAGTAAGAAACAAAGTCGATCCATAACCTGCGCATGCACGCAGGCCTGGTGACATTGTGCTATATTTAGAACACAATCATACTGGTGCATAGCCATTATGGGCCCTGCTATGAAGTGGTGACAGCTGTGAGTCGTGAGCATCGTTACATTAAGAGTGTTGACTGATATGCAAAGCCTTACTGACTCAGCAACAAGTCATGTTAAAGCAATAAAATATTATAATTAACATTATTACGTTTGTTTAGGACAATAAAAGCTGCATTGGAGATTGCCTATTCGCTTTTGCTGCTTGGAGGTGGATTTTTTTTATTATATGGAGGAAAAATTTTATTTGGCATCTAAAACTAATGCTGATAAAATTATTTAAATAGATGCTCGTTGGATCTAAACAGAACTTACAGTATATTCAGACTTATTCCACTTGCATCGTGGCAGAGGAAGTAATTCCAAAATAATAATAATCTCAAAAATTCTCAAAACTACCATTTTGTGAAGTTTTTTTTAATGAGAGTTAGATAAATTAGCAGGTTTTTTTTCTATTATATCACTATACTTTTCACTTTTTTTACATTCTGGTTAGTTCAAATAAGATTACAATTCATGCAAACTAAATATTTGTTTTGTTTATTCCAGAAAATATGATTTTCCAAAAAATGAAGCCATCTGGTCCTGCTATACGTAAAGTGATTGGCCTCCAATTCATCAGTGTTTTTTTTTCTACAGATGCATTATTTCTTCCTCCCCCTCCTGCCATCTTTTCCCGCTCACGGTCCAAGTTCACCGTCAGGCGGTTCCGGTACACAGTTTGGCTGCAGCCCTGCGTCTGTGCAGCAGAGTGGCCTCTCCGAGCGCCGGTGTCTGATGTCGCACTAAGCATGAGAAGAATGCCATTGACGTCAGTGCAGTTGCTGTCAGAAAGAGTAGCACCCGAGCCAATGACACCACGCACAGGGGAGAGAGAGAGACAGAGACACAGAAAAGGAGACTGAAAGACAGAAAAAAGAGACAAAAAGAGGCAGGAGGAAGGATGATCCGCAGAGGAGACGGAAAGGTGTGGGAGAGGAAGGGAGTGAGGGTGAAATTTCTTAGGTGGGGACAAAAAAGTGACTTTTTTCAGCATTGTTTGGGTTAATAGATGAATAAGGAAGCTCAATTTATAAAATCACATCAGAAATCAAACAGATGTGTTCTTTTTACAAATAATAATGTAAGAAGTTCCACGTAAAAGCAGATAAACTGAGGTCCTACGTACGTTTCGGTCAGCCATTGTTTAATTACAGCTAAACTATCAAATTGCAATTAAAGCTTGTGTTTCCCAGGTTAGTCCAAGCATCAGTAGTAATTGGCATCTGACAAGGTGACTCTTTGAAACTGCAGACATGCCTCCTTCAAAGTCAACGTGAAGGAAAACGGAGGCTGTCTGATTCGGGCTGGCGACGCCGCCGTGCTACCATCCTCACCATGTTGCCGACCACCTCTCTGTTTTGGTGTTATTAGTATGCTGAGCACATATTATCATGCATGCACACACAGCAGCGGGAGTTCAGAGCTGTGGCTCCTCTTTCTCTGTTTATCCATTCCACGTTTTGGATGTCTCCCCTTCCCCATCCACGGCGCAGTCCTCTCAGGCTTTAGGTACAGCTTGGGGAGAGCAGCACGCTTGGCTACCAGGGACGCCGAAGCAACAGCATCCCACCCACACCCCCCTCGGTTCACTAGCATCTATAGGACATACTCTCTGACTCACACAGGAACTGTCTTGCACCCCTTAGCTTCCTGGATGGATTGTTTTTTTTTAACTGGGAGAAGGGCTGAGCAGACCAGATCATGATGTGTTATGGTTAGCTATTCGTCCGATGTGAGTGTGCATGTGTGTCTGTTTGCCTCTGAGTGTGCATGCTTGGACCATGCCAGGGTGCTGTAAACAAGCCCACGCCTGGTCGCTGCTGGACGGCATGCACATGGATGTTGACTGGTTCTGAGCTGCTGACTGGATCCTCCGTCCCTGCCTCCTCTCCATCCAGCCTGTGGCAGACATGGGCCCGCTAAGCAGACTGCTGTTCATCCTGCTACATGACTGGAATTACAGATAGAGAACACCCTATACAGCTCACTGTGATAGGCGTGCTGTGTATGGGTGCTCGTTTTGGTCCGCCGTGTCCTCTCCTGTCTGGGTTAGACATCTGGACCGTGGCGGCTGTTTGACATCCATCACCTGCTCCTAAGGATTCTGTCGGACTTTTATTCCAAAAGGAGGAATCCAGGATTTAAACTCGAACCTCCGTTGGAGCTTTGCTTGACTCAGGAGGAGTTAGGAGGCTTTGCTTTTGCTGAACTGTGGTCTGGCATACAGGACAAGAAGGGCCCCACTCCCAGGCCCTCACAGCTGGCTCACCCGTTCAGTATGAAGAGTCGCCCATGTGTTTACTCGGGGTATCCCAGCTTAGCTGTGTGTGGGGTGGGAGACCCCGGGCCCAGGCCGTCCAATAGCCCTCTGAAGCGGGCCCTTACTGACCCTTTGCCCTCCTGTCTTGCCCCTGCAGAGGAGGCCTACCAGAAACTGGCCACTGAGACCCTGGAGGAGCTGGACTGGTGCCTGGACCAGCTGGAGACGCTGCAGACGAGACACTCGGTCAGCGAGATGGCCTCGAACAAGGTGAGAAAGGTCTTCAGCGTCACTTTTAGAAACTTCCAGGGCAGGATCTGTTGATTGTTCTTTTCTTTTTTTTAAACCCAAAATCACCTGACTCTTACCGTTTAAATGACTAATTGAAACCTGAAGAAGTTGCTCCACGGTTCTCAGGACGTGTGACTGAACTTTGGTTTGAGTTTGACGCCTAATCTAGCATTGAGTGTTAAAAGGGACTCCTGGTTTTCTCGCTGAACTTTGCTTGTGCTCAAGTTGCACTTTTACAAACATCTGTAGGCTGCCTGCCAAAGGCTAGGTCTTCAAATCTATAACCAGCATCCACTACAGCAAAGCGCGTCTGGATGGAGACGGCAGTGGATTTGCTTTTTGGGTCTGCACCATTTCCATCAAATGCACAATCAGTCCGCACCTGCATCTTTACATCAGGCTGTGCTTGTTGGAAGTACAGATCGTCCGACATTTACGGGGTCCTACGTTGTAGTGTGCTCCTTCAGAAGCAACCACCATGTCTGTCAGGCTCATGCTAATGTTTAGCCCAACTTTATAAACGCAGAAGAGAACAGGAAGCTCTGGTACACCACGGCCTGTTGATTTAATTGATTGTATTACATGTTGTACAGTATAACAGTAACTAAATACTACCTCCTCTCTGTGTGGCCCTCTCTGGTGACTGACTGTCCATGTCCACACCAAGCTGTTTGAGTTGTTTTCATGTGTATTAGTAACAGCATCGTCATGCAGGCAAGGACTTAAGTTATGAGCATGCTCATTTACCCCCTGTGTGTGTGTGTGTGTGTGTGTGTGTGTGTGTGTGTGTGTGTGTGTGTGTGTGTGTGTGTGTGTGG